AACCTCTCTACAAACAAGGAAAGGACGCTTAAAATGCACAAACCCTTTAGGACACAGACAGATGACAGATGTCAATGGAACTTGTGAAGCTGGGAGCAGGTGAACAAATACACTGGCCACAGAGAGAAGCCTGCCAGGCGCCAGTTTGTACCCAAGACCCAAGCAGGCAGGGCCCAGTTAGCCTAAAAGCAGGGGTGATGAGAGGGAGCTGTCCAAAGTCTTTCCAAAGAACAATCACACCTCCCTGATCCCTGCCGCCAGCTGAGCCAGGGATCGATCCCCTGCCCTCAGCCCCCAAACCCCAGGCCAGCAGGAGACAAAGGTCCACTGTCTGGAAAGAAGGAAACTAGAGAGGCCCTGGTCTCAGGCATGCCAGACACACATTGAGGAGAGATGTGCGGTCCCTCCCCATTCCCTTCCCAGAGCTGGTGGACAGGCTAACCCTGCCAGACAGGGGTGAAGACCAGGGAAATGGAGCACCAGGAGAAAAGGGGACCGACCCACATGTACTGTGGGGCCCCACACAAAGAAGTGGCTGGTGCCCACACTCAGACCCCGCTCTGAGCCCTCCAGGCCCCAAACCCTGGGCACACACACACCAGCCTTCCATGTCATAAATGGGCAGGTGGGATAACCAGACATCCTAGGAAACCTCCCACAAGGAAGGTGGACGACACACACAGAGTGAAGAAAAAAGGCAAGGAAAAATCTAGGAAGGAAAAGGAACAAGCTCTACCTCAGTGAGGTAGAAAGAAGATGCTGTGCTCGTGACCCAGGAACAGGCGGCTGAAGAGGAGCATCCCAAGGGCAAGAAAGCTCCTGAAAATTAAAAATAATGATGCATTAAAAACAATTTTAATAAAACTAGAATTTCCACGGGAGGCTGGAGAGTGAAGTTGAGGCAATCTGCCAAGGAGCAGCACCAGGAGCAGAGTCACCCAAGAGACTGACCAGGGGAGGAAAGAACCAGAGCGTCAGAGAAAGTGGCTCCACATCTACCTGACACAGGTCCAAGAAGAGTGAGCAGGAGGCAGGGGAACCAGAAGGAAAGGACATAAGGAGCCCCCAGACTGAGGACTGGGAGGACCCAGGACGGGAAGAGCCACTGACTGATCTCTGGAGCTTGCCGACCCTGCCTCCACCAGCTGCAACACCGAGCCTGGGGCAAAGAGAAGGCCCTTCAAAGTGTCCAAGGGGGAGAACTGGCCCAGAACCTCACACCAAGGGCCTGAACGCAGAATGGTTCAGACTTCTTACCACAAAGTGAGCAAATTATAAACCAGCTGGAGAAAACAGAGGAGCAGCACCTTCAAAATCCTGAGGAACAACTCTACACCACACCCCGGCCGGCCAGCTCAATGGGGAGCGCACAGTGCTGAGAACGCCAGGGTCAAGGGCTCATTTGCCCGCTCTGGCCAGCTGCCAAAAAAATAATACTCCACCCAACTAACGACCAAGTGTTGAGGGTAGACTAAAGGTATTTCCAGAGAGGCAGTCTCAAACACTGACCCTCCTTGTACCATTTAGAAAGCTACTAAATAATTGCTCTGCCAAAACAGAGGAGTGAATCGGGAGAGCCAGGCCTTCAGGAGCCTCTTCTACACACATGAATATTTTTTTTTATTATGAAAAAGACTGGAAGGTGTACAACAAAACTGACAAAAACAGACCATCTCTGGGAACTCTGGCCATGTGGACTTTCTTCCCTCTACTTTCCTGTGGCCGTGCGTTGCTTCAAAGGGCAGGAAAAGGAGACTGAGAATGAAAACCAGTTAGAACGAAAGTGGCAAAGAGACTCAGAGCAGAAGCCCAAGTGATGCCTGTGGGCACCAGGGAAGCAGCTGACCCTCTGCAGGAGGGACAGTAGGCTTCCCACCCAGACCACGCCAGGCCATGGAGTTGCAGAGGACATGCACGGGGGGCAGGCAAGACGAAGGAGGTGGTGTGCAGGTAAAGATTCCATGACAAAGGGACAACCGGACCCTGCCAGGAACCAAGACCCTCACTTTGGTGAAATCACTGTGATGAGCCTTCTAAGGAGTGGACTTTGGATGGAACATGCCTCTAGTCACTAAACTGTCAGGGCTTCCAGGCCCCGATGGGACACAGAAGTCACACTCAGTAATCCATAGGCGCCCCGCTGCGAGGGCGTGCCCCCTCCAGACAGCGGAGGACCTGAGCTCAGCAGCTGATGTGACAGACCCAGATCCCCCTCAGATGCTCCTCAGAGTCAGAAAAGGTTTCTCTGTCAACTGTTTTTAACCGAGGTCCTGATGCTATGGTAGAGTAACAGCAGCCCTCAGAATGGACGTCTTCCATACCCATTCCTGTTCAACACATGTGCACATGCACACATACCCCACAGATCACACACACACCCCACACACACTCACACCACAGACACACACGGCCCTGAGTGAGGGACTGTCAGCCAGGAGCGAGTGACAGGCAGCTCCAAGATTTGGAAAACAAGCACCACCCAGTGGACGGCCGGTGCTGCAAAGGGCCCTCAGGCTTCCCACCCACAGTGGAATGAAAGCAGCACTCTGCGGTGACCCGGCCTCTGTGGCAGGCCCGGCGCTGCTGGAAGGAATCCTGAGGGAGCCGCGGCTGAGCGAAGCACTTACCCCGGAGGAGGACAGAAGCAGCTCGGGATGACTGGGCACCACAAAGATGCGGCTCACAAACCTACAGCGAGACAAGAAGCACGGGGTCAGCTGCTTCTGCCTCCCTGCTAAGACACCCGTGCAGTCACGGGGAGCAGGGAGGGGGCCATTCATCTCAGAAGTGAAGCCCTCTGCTCCCCGACAAAACTGACCTCCACCAAAACCAGCCAGCACAGAAAGGGTACCAGGTCTAACCAGGTGACGGCCTCCTGGATGGGAGCAAGCTGAATTAGGGCAACACGCCCTGTCATGTCCCCAATAACACGACAACCACCCCAGATGAGCTCCTCAGCCAGGCCTGCCAGAAAGACCCAAGAGTGCCTGTGACCCTCCAGATGCTCTGCTCAGCAGCACCTCAACAGGCTCCCGAGCGCCCACCTTTACCTAAGGCACTGGCACTGAAGGCCGGTGACAACGGGACCCTCAGGTGAGACTCAGAAGATGGAGAAAGAAGGCAGCCAAACCGACTGGCTGAGTGAGGTCAAATCCCTGATGGTCCCTCAACAACACACCTAGAGATCAGGACCAAGAGTGGCCCAGCCGGAGACCTGTTTCTGCTGAACCAAGCCCAGTATACACCCAGGGCTTGGCCCGCAACAGCATACGACACAGAATCACAGCCACTCTCCCCAGCTGATCCCGAGCAGCTGGCTCTTTCTGGAAACCCATCAAGAGCACAGGGTGCGGCCGGCCCGGTGGCGCACTGGATAGTGCGCCGCTTGGGAAGCGCGGCGGCGCTCCC